CTCAAGGTCAACCGAGGTCAGCACCTGGCACCGCAGACAGTCGAGGCCGTGAGTTGGCGAGTGGCGCCGGGTGGTCGACTTCGACTTCGATTACAGTGGTTGCCGCATGGGGTGCTGACTGCCGTGAGATCGCCGTTCAGGGGAGCGTGTTCACTGGTTCGAGTCGTAGCACCGAGGGCGACCGCTCATGGGCGGCACTGGCCTCAGATAATGTAAGTCAGTGCACACAGCGCAAAATTTGTTTTTATGTTGAGTCGGGCACTGTCCGGTGCCTCAATGCCAAAGCGTGGGGGCGGACGTTTTTCTTAATCTAGTGCCGAATGTTACATTTGGACTGCGACCACCGAGCGTTTGACCGACTGTCAGGTCGGTGTGCCGCGTACACTACCGCCCGGGCCGCACGGAAGCGAGTGGTCCATCGTTGCTGCTGTTTCTTAGGCCTCTATGTTCCATTGTGTCGGGACATTCAGCCCGCGCCCTCCCGCTCTGCCCGGCCGCCGGTCCTCCGTTACACCCCGCCTCCAGACGCCGGGCGCTATGCTCCGGCTTCCGGGGCTCGGGCCCTCGCTGGGCGCCGCGCACTCGGGCGTGTCGGTTCTGCGTCCGCCGCGGCGCCACCGTCGCGCCGACACCACGTGACCGGTGTCGGTGACCCGCGCGGTCGCCGGCCGTCGAGCCGACCTCGGGCGCGTCTCACGCCCACGTGCGCAGGCGGTCGGGCGGGTGCGGGCGGCGCGGCTTTTGTTTAAGTCATGAGCTACGTCTCGGGTGTGCCGCGTGACGATGGAAAAGTGAGCGGCGCGTTTGGCGATTAGTGAACAACGCACACTGAAAAACAGCCCGAGCTTCTACCTAGCACTCACTGTATTCCAAACCGTCATCTCCTGTGCCAACAGCCACCGTGACACTGCTTTGTCATCTCTGTCGTAGATCGGTCAACACCTGTATGTCATTGCCCTGCATCTCATCGGTTATTGGTATTTTTGCACTATGGTGAGCAGGTCATGTATTCCCTTTGGGGGAAGGAGGGGGCTGGTAGGTGCTATTATTTCAGGCTGCGGAAACTGGAAATGCGGTCTCCGTACGCGCGTCAAACAGATGGAATACCTGTATTCCTATATGCCTGTTTAACCTGATTTGAAGCATATGGGGCTGTTTCCCACCCCTTTGCAATACCCGAAATAACTAAGGCAGACAATATTTCTTTGTGTGGCTTCTTTTGCTATTAGCAGCTTAAAGCAACCTTTTAGCTCGATTTCCACGAAATTGTCACTTACTCCGGATTTCAACTTCTAGATATGCAATTTGTCCTACATCCATATCTACATTCATATCATATCATATTCGTATACATCCGTAGCATCCATCCATTCTGTTCGTGTTCGATTCTCGAGGCCCTCGAATGATCTTACGCTGGACTCCAAATGATGATATGTTTTAACTTCTAGATACACGATTTGTCCTCATGTCACACGTTTTGTCTGCCGTTATTTGGAACGGAGAAGTGGTAGATGCGATCCACGTCGCCGCGTATGAACTGATGACATACCATCCCGTGCAAAATGTGGCATGGTAATGTATGTCTGCACCGGCCGATGTCTTACCTTCCTTTGAGCTCCCTGCTCGGCTGTCGAGCCAACGAGGCAACCATTCAGGCTGCGGCTCCGCCAGCTGTTTACCAGACGTGGTACTTGACCCAGGGCCTCCCCATCGGCTATACACCGCTTTATAATTGCTAGGCGGCGCATAATCTGAGCCAGAATCCTATCAGAGAATTGCTTCCGGCGCAAAACAGCAAAACAATCGACCTCCGGTCACGGAAGATGTCCACGCTGACAGGTCACGTGCACGTAATCCCTTGAGTCTCGGGAATGCGAAACGCTTGTGTAATCTGGTGTAGTCGGCGGCGACAGCGCGGGTAGGCGACTGCGGCAACCCCTCCGACCGCAGCCGTTACTGGGCACCGAGTGGGGTAACTTTACGGCGACCTGTTTCGTCGCGGCGTGCATGCGGCGCCGTCAATTGCGAACGTAATACGGTCGGAGTAGAAACTGTAAGCTGTCACGCCAGCCAGTGGGATGCAACCAGCTGGCTTAGACGCGAGAGAGACATCCGGTCAGGCTGTAGTTAGGGCTCGCAAACACGAGCAGATTGATCTTCCCAATACCAACGGAGACAGTTCGGATTGTCGGAATGTATAGGCCTGAGAGGGGTGAGTGCAATGCGTAGGCGCTAGTTCAGATGCTGTGTTATGCCGTGCTGCACTAGAATGCTGAGTTTCTACCATCTTTGTAAATTTTCTAGTAATTTTTAAATCATTTTCCAAAAGACGAGATTGTTTGATGTGTGCAAACAAAAATGAGTAGTGTGACTGATCAGCACATTAAACAACGCTTTCCCAGAATTGGGTCCATTTCCAAGTTCCCGGGTGCAGTGAAGCAGAAAGCGATCGCATGTTGCCACATGGGATGGCCGCGGCTGTCGCTACTCGTAGTGCCTTTGCGTACCAGGCATGCCTGAAACAGAGATTTACGTAAGCGCTGGCCGGAGTCGTTACCATACCACTCCGTCATCCCGCTGTGTTCTTTTTTTCCCGATTGCCTAAGCTGCGACGAAGCAGTCGCACTAAGTTTATGCGTGGTGAAGCAAACAGCCCAGGAAAGTGAGAACGGAGAATAATGCCACCGGCGCCTGCCGATGGCATTAGATGACATAGCCGAGGCTGTGTCGGAGATGAGGTTTTGCAGTTCAGTAAGAGGAGTTCAAAGCTTTCGCTCTTTATGAGAAGCGATGTAAGCCCATGCACAATACTCCTTAGCATACACTTCGCAATGTCCGTGTCATTCGTCGTGAAGCATTTCGCACGGCGTAACCGGCTTCAGAATAAATTTCCAGAGGCTTCTTAGACAAAAATCAGTAACTGCTTGTCCCGTGGGACCTTTTGACTGGAAACAGGCCGCCCTGGGCTGCCGTCCGCTCCGCGCCGCGGCGGGCGAGCAGGGCGACCCCCAGACCAGACACGGCTGCAGGCTTGCTGGGTACCGCGCCTGGTCCGGGGGTCGTTGTGACGTCAGCAGGGACCCCCGGTCGTCTGCTGGGGCGGGGCGGTGCTGGGACTGCCGCCGCCGCTGTCGGCGCCGCCCGGTGACAGCGATCAGATGCGACCGGCCGGCCGGCACTAGCAGTCCCGAGGCTGACATCCGTGCTCGCCCTGGCGAGCGCCGGCCGGCTGTCCGTGCATGCCGTTGACCCGGATCTGCCGATCTGCATGTCCGGACGGTCGGCCACCATAAACAGTGGCAGGCCGCCGGCGGCTGGGTCGCCGGTCGAGGAGCGGACCGGAACGGCGGTCGCCACCCCCGGGCGCCGGCCGCTCTGGGACGCGACGAAGCGCCAGGCGTTCAGCTGAGCCGGCAGCACGCCCCGAAGTGTAGGAGCCGGCCAGTCACCGGTGGAGCGGACAGCTGTGCGCGGTGCCGGTGTAGCAGGGCTCACGGACGTCTGGTTGTCGTATGGGAAGGGCCGGCGCAGGGATGTCTGGATCGAGATGCCGCTGCAGAAATGGGACAGCGAGAATAGAGGTTGATGAAAGAAAATTACCAGGGCAAACGAATAACGGGATGCCCCATGTACGCGGCTACCAAGACACTACGTTACAGCGACGGCATGACTTAAGGTTGAGAGGCGTTGGCTTCGGGTAAAGAGAAAGCAAGACACCAAAGGGCAGGGACTGTGCGGTGACGTCGGGCTAGGAATTGAATGGGGCTGCTGCCCACATCCAAGACACAACGTGAGCGTCGCATTAAAGAAACGAGAACAGACTGTGTGAGCCTTCAACTCTCCGTGCGGATCCGCCGCCTCTGAATTAAGGTGACGCAAATGTACAGACGGGGCAATATGCATCAGCAAACTGGCCTCAAAGATTGTTGTCAGTGATAAGCCATTTGCGCGCTCGCGACGAAGGCAAATTAATAAGAACACGGTGCAGGGGCATCTGGCGCTGCAGCAGGCTGTGTCTTGAGTCGGTGATAAATTACAGGCAATTTAGGTCAGTAGATCTGGTTTTCCAACGCAAAACGAGACTTACTTACAACGCTGGGACTTACTAGAATTGACGACGTGTGCATTCTCTCACCGTAGATAGTTTGGATACGTACCGCCTGCTTTTTAAACTGGCTGGCGTTTTTTCGTGACTGCACTCACCACTTACCATAATTTCAAAGTATTGATTACCTTGCGTGTCACTTATATACCATATTGGGATTGATGAGAGGGCAGATTGCCTTCGGCGCGCGGCGATGCTAACGACTGTTAGCTTTTAGCGACGTTGTTAATGTCTGCCAAGAGGCGTGTCTCTATTTTTCAGCAACCCCAAAGCAAGGCGATTTTGGTATCCTGTGATGTACATGCAGTGTGAGGCAGCTGCGGCAACAGAACAGCGGTTTTTTGTGTCACTGCTGACGTGCGTTGACAGCTTCTGCGCGCGTGTTGCTTTGTTGTGCCACGCTTGGTGACTGGGTCTCCTTTGTGGTGGTGACTGGTCACATCTTCACTGTCCCTCTCTGTCTCTTACGCACAATTAACACCTCTTTCTCTCGCCTTTAGGTCCCCTGCATGTAGTCCCCGGTGATGGGCTGGTATCGCCGGTAGCCGGGCGGTGCTCTACTCGCCGCTCGACGTGACCTTGGGCGCCGGCCGCCGCGTGCAGTCGCTGCGCGCGCCGCCCTTTCGCGGCAGAGTCGCCGACGACGACGACACTGGTGAACAACACGCAGGCGTGTGGTGGTGGTGCCGGCGCGTGTCAGTGGTGCAGTGTTGGTGACGCGGCCGTCGGTCGGCGCGGGCGTCTTTGTCGGCCTCCGCCGCCGCCGCCGCCGGGTGTGGTCTGGCACGGCCAGCGGTGACGGGCCGCCATGTCGGCACGCGGCCGCCCGCCCAGGGCCACCGAGCGCACGCCGCTTCTCAAGCCGCCCAGCGGCAAGCCGACGCCGGATGTCGAACAGCAGACGCGGCGGCCGCCGCTGCCCGATCGCGGCCCGTTCTCTGACGCCGAGGGGCGGCGGCCGACGCCGCGCACCGGACGCCAAAAGCGCGCGAGCGAGTCGGACGCGTCGCGGCGACGCACCGCCTCGTTCACAGGCGGCGCCAGGAGCGCGTCGCGCGGCGGCGCCACCAGCGAGTCGGACGGCGAGCGCTCGCGCCGGCCGTACCACTACCACCAGGTGCCGGGCACGCGCCGCTACAGACATGACTCGGGCGCCGAGGCGAGCGACAGCGAGGTGGCCAAGTTCAACCGCTTCAACTACATCAGCAAGGTGATGGGCTCGAGTGGACGGCTAGCGCGCCGCGACGACTCGGAGACTGGCAGCGAGGCGGACGAGTCGGCGGTCTGGGAGCCGCCGCACTTCACCATTCCCGACCACCTCATCCCGGCAGAGTTCTTCATCCCGTTCGTGCGCACGCCTCGTCCCGGCGAGGAGTCGAAGAACGCGTCCATCATCACCGTGTTCGCCATCTGGAACACGATGATGGGCACCAGCATCCTGTCGATGCCCTGGTTGGTGGAGCAGTCCGGCTTCATCTCCTCCATGCTGACGTTCGTGGCGATGGGACTGGTCTGCGTGTTCACTGCGTACCGCGTGCTAACGATGCAGGCGCGCCTGCGCATCCCGCCGCCCACGCACGACTTCCAAAACATCATGCGCGACGTCCTCTCCAAGCACTGGGAGTACTTCGGCATTCTCTTTTCAGTCGCCGTACTGCTGGGCGCCATGCTCGTGTACTGGGTGCTTATGACCAACTTCCTGTACCGCACGGTGGACTTCTTCTATGATCTGGCAATTGGGAACTTTAGCAAGTATGATGTGAATGCAACAGTGATCCACGGCGCGTACTGCCCGGAAAACGTTGTGGTGGAGGTTCTGGAGGCCGCTACCAGTGCTGTCGGCGAGGAGAGCTTTTACGACAAGATGTGGAATGCTCAAACCACGCCGCTCTTCCTGGTGCTGCTGTTATATCCGCTACTCAACATCAAAAGTCCCACGTTCTTCACCAAGTTCACCGGCATGGGCACCATATCGGTGCTGTACATGATCATCTTCGTCACCACCAAGTCCGTACAGTTCGGCATCAACGTCAGCTTCACGGACGTCGCAGCTCAAGACTACGTCCAGCTGTTCCGGCCGAACTTCCCGGTAGCCATGGGCACGCTCTCCCTCGCCATGTTCATCCACAACTGTATCTGCAGAATCATGGAGAGCAACCAGCACCAGGAAAACAATGTTCGCGACCTCTTCATCGCCTATTTCCTGGTGTTCCTTACGTACCTATATATTGGCCTCCTGTTCTTCGTGGCGTGGCCGTTCGCCAAATCCTGCATCCAAGACAACTTCCTGGACAACTTCCTCGGCACGGACCCGATGTCAATCGGTGCGCGGATCTTCCTCTTCTTCCAGATGTGCACCGTGTTTCCGCTGCTGGGGTTCATGATCCGCGCCCAGCTGATGACATTCATCTACAGCACGACCTACCCGGGGCCGGGCCGCGTGCTTGGCGCTCAACACCGCCGTGGTGATCGCCTGTGTAGCCGTGGCGGTCTTCTACCCGCACATCGGCGAGCTGCTGCGCTTCTCGGGCGCCTTCTGTGGCATGGCGTGGATCTTCACCTTCCCGTGCGTGACGTACCTGGTGGGCACGTACCGGCGCGGAAGACTGCGCTGGCCGGCCGCGCTCCTCCACTCGGGCCTCGTCGTGCTCGGCGTCGTCAACCTCATCCTGCAGTTTGTCGTCAAGACGGACTGACGACGGCTGATGCGTAGGACGTCGTGGAGACTGGCCGGTGTCGTTGGTGCGCGACAGTTCTCCGGGACCTCGGCCGTGTCGCTGCCGCTGACCTCACGCTGCCTGAGGACCTTCGTCGGGGCCAGCGACCTGATTGGAGGATTTCAGAGGCTGGTATTGACTTGCAAACGGTGTGAGCGGGGGGGGGGGGGGGGGGCACGTGGCATTCTCAGGCTCCGCTAGACTCAGCCGGAGGCTGCAGATGAACATCCCGCGTGTTCTAAACTATTGAGATGCGTGTGCCATGGTGCTGTGACGCGCGTGCTGCGGAGCTGTGGGCGGCCTGCATTGGGCTGTGCTCTGGCAGGCCTCCGCGTCCCTGCTGAGCCGGAGGGTGCCAGAGCCCAATCATCGACGGCTGATGATCGGCGGCGGCGGTGCGTCCACGGCAGGCGCCTGACGCAGCTATAACCTGTCACGCAGGACTTAAGCTGTTCCGCGCTGCATAACGTGCGGCGCGGCGTAACGTGTAACGTACCGTGTGACGCAGGGCTGCCATGTACTCTAACGCTCCGCGGTGTCCTGCGGACCGGACGTGTAACTGTGCGCGCGGGAGCTTACCGTGCTCGGCCAGGGAACGGTGGCGCCGCAGCCCCAGTACTGGCCGGGCGGAGCGGCCCGGACAGCCTCGGAAGCCACCCGGCCGCGCGGCCGCCACCGGCGGGCGGCCGCGGTCTGCTAATGAACCTAATCGGCGTGCGGCGACACCGTTGGCGTGGCGCTGCGCTGGGGCGACGCGTGCGGAACGGGTGTCGCGCTGTGTCGGCTTCATTTACGGGGGCAGAGCTGAGTGGAGGTATGCTATCACGCCCTGTGAGGCCTCTGCAACAGGGGGAGGCTGTGTCGCTGCTGGGTTCATGGCGTCTCTTTCAGCCGGTGGAGGCCATCGGGTGGTGTCGGTGTCGTGCTTGGCTTTTACATGTTATGACTGGCTGGCTTGGCTCTGCATGTTCGCTGTCGCATGGGAGCGAACAGCCAATGTCTGTATTATTGGAACACGTGAGAAATGTTGAATTCTCATCGCGCCGCATTTAATGACAAACTATTGTACAAAAGAACATGTCCCATGCTTGCCTGGCGCTTCCACACATGCTGTGGATGCAAGTATTTGCGCAGGGGCCACCACTAAGCGTGTGGACATTCGCAGTGTGTCGGGTTTCTGATACTCAGGAAAGTCGGCCCTACATCTGGGTTGGCCAAAATGTCCTTGCTCTGGATACCGAGAGTCTGTGCAGACAATATATTTATAATACGCTTCCCAACATTTGAAGTCTCGCAAGCTCGGAAGATTGACTGGGCGGGCGTGTGGCGTCGTCCGCTCAAGCGTCGTCTAAACGTATCTAAACCATGTGCGCAATTACCCCATCGGGGATACCAGGCTAACACAGCGTTTGTGAATCCATCCAGGCACCGATATATCCATTGTCTTCCGCAGGAATTTTGAAACTTTGCATCAGTATACGGCATCGGTGGTGGCCTCGCCGATCATGCTAATGGTTACTGCCGGGGGGGGGGGGGGGGGGGGGGGGGGGGCGGGTGCACGTGCGGTTCACAAGCCACTGAGACGCCATCCCGCCATAAGCGTAACCATCACTGGATAGGCGCGGTCCCGGATTCGTTTGGTGGTGGGGAATGGGATCATGCTAGTATTCAACCACAAAAAGGGCATCGAAGCAGACTGAAAACCAATGACCTCCACGCTCCTGCTTCCAAGACGGCGCACAGCGCATCATAGCGATGGCGCGGTGTGTCTATCACTGGAGCAATACGGAAAAGTAACTACCTCTTAGCGGCGCCTCTCCACGGACGACCTGGCACTCTCCACAGTGGACAGCCGTGCTATGTAGTTGCTACGCAAGAGGAGTGGTGCTCATATAACGCGCAGTTAAAGGGAGTGCGCCACGTTTTTGCACTTTCACTTATGTCGGATCAGATGCTCCCGATCTGATCCGTAAGACCAGTGTTCTGGAAAACTTGGATGGCTCAGAATTTCTATTTGAAGCAGCCGCTCCTGCGGGAGAGTACTCATTGGAGTCCATGCCCGCCACTATCGGTTCAGTTCGGTCCACTGAATTCACGAATCATTCCAACAAGTGGCTTACCGTTTGATTCGTTGCAAATACAGTCGTAGTATGAACCCAATATTAAACATGAAAACGACACAACCACATTCGCACGTTATCAACCGTCCAGTCGTTCACACAACCTCGTCAAAGACAAAATGGCTAATCAAAATATAAATTGTCACCACATGTTCAACAACGGCAAGTAAGAAATGAATGCATAACGGGACCGTCTAGATCCTCTAGCCTGGTGCGAAACTCGTGGTTGCGAGAGGCGGTGATGGCGGCTGGCGGCTCCAGGGTGGGGTCGTGCGATGCGAAAAAGTCCTGCGTGCTACCGACTGGCGAGGAGCTGGCAGAGAAAGGGCGCCCGTCGCTGCCGCCCGGGTGACATGCCGGCATTTAGCCGTTCGCGGGGTGAGGAGGAGCCGGACCGGAGCCTGTGAGTCCTTTAAGGCCCTAAATACAGCGTGACAATGTCACTACCGCAGCGCCAGCCCAGTGCTTGAACAGTCGCCACCATTGAATCTCGCCGACGGGCACTGGTGGCGGTCCTGGCCTCAGTTATCACCCCTTGTGTCGTGTTCAGGGGACACGTGCCAGCCCCACCCCAGACGAGACAGTACAGAAGGGGCAGCACAAGATGAGGGAAAACATGGGACTGGATTGGCAGAGTGCTGGGGTGGGGCTGCAGAGCAGAGCAGCTGGGACTGGAGAGCAGAGACTGGGGTGGGACGCAGAGGCAGCCCCACCCCAGACCGAGGCAGTACAGAAGAGGCAGTACAGAAGATGAAGGAAAACATGGGACTGGATGAAAGTTTATGAATCTCGGGCGTAAGTTGGTGACGGGTTTCAGGCAGCCAGGAAAGGATGGAGTTTACTTTTTGACAATATGGGATATGTGCATTTCCCAGGAAAGAACGCTTTCAGAAGCAACCCTCAGCATCTTCACGGACGGCAAAGGGCTTAATTTGCACCCCGCAATGTCAAGAAAAGATGAGGTTTTCTTCAGGAATTGCGGAGTGCCAAGGAGGAGCAAGGTTGTTTTGGCGGAATCCATTCCAGGGGAGTTTGATGTGAAGCAGGATTGCATCATTTGGGAGGCTTTCTCCAGTCGGGATCTCAAAAAGGATAGTGGGTTTGGATGAGCGGAGTCTAGCAGTTGGGTGTCACCGGCATAGGACGCTAGACGTCCGTAAGGGAGCTAAGACGGAAGGCCGTTCATGACGGTGCTGAAGAGCATAGGGCCGAACAGGGATCCCTGAGGGACGCAGTGAACCAGCGGAAGACAGACGACCGTCTCTCACCATCTGCCGCCGACCAGAGAGATAGCTCTCAAACCACTTGGGATCAATGTCATACCACTGCGGCTTTGCCAGGAGGATGTCATTGTCGACGCTATCAAAGGCACAGCATGAATCAATGGAGGTGACGGCGGCAATGTGCCCAGCGTCAATCCGACGTACCTCACGCTCAACGGCGTCGACCAGGGCACGCTCCGTTGAGTGGCAAGATCTGTAAGTGTACTGTGATGGAGCTTAAGGATCACAGGCAACGCGGTGGGTGCTATGGTGGGTACCATAAAAGTAATATTTTTTCCTTATCCTGTTTTTTTTTCAACGGACGTGCTCCATTATGTTTGCAACACACTAATTTGTCAAAATGTCTGTGTAATGAATTCTACGAAAGCTTGAAACACTCTGCTGAGAGTAAAAGGCAACCATAAGGCTATTATGCCACAGATTAAACGAAACGTTATAATATTGTTTCATTATTCTCGATGGCTCTTACTGCAGCAGCTCTTTTTCGAGGCGCACTTCGGCTTTGGAAAGTACGTATAATGGGAGCATCATATGGTCCACAGAAACGCATTGGTCCAAACTTTAACCAATGGACTTCTCGACAACAGACGCTTTCCGCCCGCTGAGCCAGTCACAAACGTTTCTTTATTTGCACCAGTCCAGGCGCCACTTTAAAGCCCGCAGACCCACAATGTGCAGGTTAAGACAGCTCAAAAGTGGCACCTCTAACCCGTAACAGCAGACAACGGCCCTCAGCAGGTTCCGCCGTCGTCATGGTGACGGCCTTTGCGACAGGTGCAGCTGCGAAGGAAGATGTGTGGTGCTATTACATAGCGTTGACAGCGTAATTTGAATTCGGAAATCATTCGAATTTATATCTTTTATTTTATCCCGACGGCGCTTCAGTGGCACAACCCAGTGCTATTAAAAGACGTAAGTGATCCTGAGCTTTCACCTGGACATGATTTTTGAATATGCCCCAAAGGTGGGACACTCCGTTTAACGCACATTAAGGCTGAATATGTTAGACGAGTGCACTTAAACTCAGGCCCGCGCCTAAGCGCCAGGATTTGGCCTCTATTCAGTACGTCCAGTTCTCGCTGGAACGGCGATGGGCGGCACGCGATGGTAGCGGACGGCCCCCGGCGCCCTGCTACGCACAGCTCAGAACCTAAAAGGGTTTAGGTCGTAAGAAGAGCAGGGATGTGAACTGCAATGGGTGATCTTCGAGATGGCCTTTTCAGTTCAGAATCCCCACGCGGACGTGGAATGTTCCCTTTAAGAGCTGCCGGTTAGTGGAAGAGTATTTTTACAAAAGTATCAAAACGCTTAAGTCGGAAACGTGCTTTTTGCATGTCAGCACGGCTGACAACAAAATGAAAAATAACACAACGCTAGCATTGCTACGTGGAATGATTTGCCACCAATAATTATTTAATTTAATCAAAATGCATTCGTACACTTAACGTATTTCAATAATTCACTGGAACGATGCTTAACTTTGCATTTACTGAAACTGTTCCACATTCCGAAGATGTCGAAATAAGCATCAGACAGAATGAAATAAGCTCACTCATAGCTATTGGTATGCGTTTATGTGGAAAAAGCTGCTCCAGACGGGACTAATTCCCTGTTCAGCAATATGCTCCCCAATGCGTCATTGCTTTATTACGTCATTGTTCCTTGCACAACATCGATTGAGAGCCAATTGAAGGCCGTTTTTTATCTGGAAATCGTGCTCACAAACGCCAAATATGAACGACG